TCATAATCGTCCAAATATCTAAATAATAAAATATATTCAAGCCATTATCGTCCTATTCAGGTCCCTCGTGGTTAAAAATATTTGCGTAGTTTCTAATACTGGACATCTTAGGAAGATATCTTGCATAGACGTCCTGATCTTAGAATATTTACGCTAATCACAGCTTACCAATCAGCCAATAAACTTTAACCCATCAGTAACACATCTGCGCTACATCTAGTCACGAACAAAATCCTTTTTATCGCAAAGGAGTACTCCTGCAAGGATGAATGATAACACGGCTATACTACTTATTTACGTATTGAAACTTAAAGCCAGACATGCGCTATACGTGTTAGTTTCACAGATATAACATACTACTTCGAATGTCGATATTTTTTAGTTAAATAAACAAATGTTTTCGTTTATTGGGTTGAAGATCATAGACTGGAATTACATAAAAGAACCGGTGATAAAGCTCTACAACTATTGGTGTACTGCCCTTATAAGATTGGTGCGGGACATCAAAATCCGGGTCTTTTGTCATAAATCGTGTTTCAGTATCTGCACAAAAATAGATGTTTCAACAAAATGCATTGCATATACTAGACGTACCACTTCTTGCGGTTATATTTATTTATCATTCACGAACGATCTTTCACTTCGAGCTTAGATAGGAAGTCTAAACCACCAACTAGTCGTTTTTCAAATATTCCTATAGTAATCGCACGTAAATCGAGATTGGTAAATGTAAACCCTTTCAAGTATCGCTTAAATACGCGACAAAAGATTCCGGGGCAACTAAAGTTCCAACATGACCAAAAAATTTAAAAGGTGTCAGAGGACGCGAAAAGTCTTAAAAAGAGTAACAGTTGAAGCTTGTCTGGACCATCCAATTGGCAGCCAGTATCCTCCACTCCAAGACGGTCTACAATTTTCCCGAAGCCACATGAAAACAAATGCAGATTGTTGATTTCAGTCAACAAAAGATGTTTCCGGTCTAGATGGAGGTTCACACAGCGCGGAGACGTTAGATAATAGCCAGTCTTTGCTTATATTCTAAGAGTGACGCGCTATTTTTGACTATAATGAGTTTGTTGTTTTGGTTTAAAAGGAACTGGCTTTCTTTAAACACCAATAATAGCAGATGGCCCATCACGACAAACTATCGGCCAAGGTATATCTAAATCTGAATTCCTTTTCTGTACATTGATATAAAAAGTTTATCGAATTGCAGGATGAAAATGGCAGAAGATGGCATGAAACTGGCGAATAAATTCTACGGTGTTATGATATAGAGTTTAGCGTAAAAGAGAGCTGCCATGATAGCATCATCTTAGCTTTCTTTTTATCGATATATTGCAACAATAGATTATAACATTACTTAGAATAATTGTTTTTTCCAACTATTTAGCCAGCGTAAGGTGCAACCTCATCTGCACCTTGGGAGAAAAAGGCTTTGCTGGCAGCTCAAGGGGTAGACGATTGAAAAGGTGACACCTGAATATAGGAAGACAGGCACCCTGGCTACATGTCCTCCGCTTCTCCAATAGGACATCTCTTTAACTGCATTAGCAATGTGAGCAACTAAAATGTGGCGGCGGATGAATGACTTTATATTTATTTCAGCCTATACCTCAAGTTAGCAAACTGTAGGTTAAAAAAAAAAAACGTTTTCAACTCTAATGGCTTACCTTACAGAAAGACTAGAATTATAACCCATTATATATTAACCCGGGTATATTCCCATTCAATGCAAAAGTAAGCGATTGAACAGCATTATTTTCAACTAAGGTGTCTATATTTAGAAGGGTTTATAGATGTTTCACCTGTTGTACCCTGTTGAAAACAGCCCATTGACGACGGCATAGTCGGGACAAAGTCGAACGAAGTATGTATAGAAGCAGAAATCGTCATCACAATGTCTAGTTGTATTGAAATTTGGTAAACTATTAAGAATACACTGAGCATTTCTAATCGGAGCGCAGATATCCTATTTTATTTTATGATTGCCCTGATTTTCTATAGAAATGGTAGAAATGCTGGGCAATGTTTAGTCCATTGAGAGTTTCAGTGTATCCCAATAGATGTCGCTGTGTAATGAACAAATACAAATGTCTATATCATTCGTTAGCTTAAACGTGTACAAAATTTCAAATCGGGGCAACATCGTAGATCTCCGATAAATGAGGTTTACTACATTTGAGCATGGCATAACATAACGCAATTGAAAACAGTTTTGATTGACGCCGCCATATTGGCAGTAAACAAAATAGTTCACGTAAAGTAAGGGTATATTCAGCTGGTATATAAACGATAAGATATAAACGACACCCGAATTAACCTAAAGAGGATGCGGGAAACCTTAGCATAATTTCATCTTAACTAAAATGGCGTACCCAGTCAAGCTCAAGCAAGGAGGATCGCGAATAAATTTGGCAAACGAAGTGAATGATTTTATTCTTACTTTTCCACGATTATTCCCCGGCGCAGTTGCATACTAAATAATACGAAGCAAAATACAGGGAGGTAACTGGCGAAATTAACACGCTGGATTTTCCCTGCCTTGATCTTATACAGATGCCGAAATCAGAATCGAAGTTTTTTCAAAATATTTTTTGATGCGACGTCTATGCAGGGACCGTTAACGCAATACGATCATTATGACTGCCGCTTTTGCTATAACTTCCGCTTGAAAATTCTACGGCAAGGAATTGATTGGGCTCGAATTGCTTATAATTCACAGAGACAGCGCAGCGAACTTCGAAACCCCCCTTAAGTATGTGGAACGCCCTCCAATCGGGCTTATTTCGTCATCGCCATTTTCCAGGTGGCTTTTTCCTCTTTACTCAACTAACTAATACCTAATTGTCGATACCATCTGTGCCATCATACTCAACACGTAATAAATCCCACTACAGACTCATCTGTTCGCAGATTTGGCAAAGAAAGCAAATGATGCCATCCTCTTCTCGTACACTAATGCACATTCCTTGATAGCCCAAAAGTTCCAGTTCATTTAACGTAATCAAGTTCGTATATCATCGGTACTGATTACGTTCGTCGGGGGGCAGGAAACTGCTAAAATGAAGTTTGAAATAGGTTAAGGTCATAATCGAATAGTTCTATCGATCGGAAATAGAATCAGGTCGTATCTTAACCGCTACAACTTCGAGATAATACAATGCGGAACAAGACCCAAAGTAAGTGAGCCTTTAAGTATTTTGTAAGTTGATGCAAGGAAATGTATACGTAATAAACATACTGGATTCAGTCAACTTGAAAAAGCAGTGTCCATGTAATGCGGTCACTCAAAGGGCAACAAAATTAGTGAATTTATTTGCCTTAAACATCACACATTAACTTCTAACTGGGGAAATTTGCGAGTTCAGATGAACTAAGTGACAACAAACTTTTCAGTTCTGTATGGGAAAAGTGTCCTATTAGACCGTAGGTTTAAACACGCAAATATGAAGTATAGGTGATTGTTCTTGGAACGCACACTAATAGCATTTCTAATAGACGAATGAACCGCGCGGTGTAGGCGAGGCCAGACGAGTTCCGAGAACTCGACTTTATATTGATGAAAAACAATCTTGCAAGATGTATTTTTGTACAATTTTGAAACTCCTTTACTAGATATGAAAGAAACAAAATATATAGAGCACACGGTGGTCATAATGTCTAGTCTAACGACTTCTTTCGTAAAGATTCAGCATAAGCTTTCTCGTAGCAGACAAGGAGGATATTGCATCGAACTTTAGAGCTATCGGCGAGGCAGCGGTTGGATAAACTTCAGACCGAACTTGACTGAATAATAATATAAGATACAAAGAAAAAAAAAGAAATATATATATATATATAAAACAATCTAAACTATAAAAAATATCTAAGCGTCCAACAGTTCTCTAAAGGCCTGTTGAGCGTAATTCGGGTTTGAAAAGGAGCCTCTAAACAGAAAGTTGAATTGTTCCGTGATACAAATTTAATTCGTTGGAGATGAAACCTGGTCAGTGCTTTTGCTCTGAAAGCATTCCACGAACGCGTTCTGACGTATTCTTAAAGCCTGACAAGAAACCAAAGACGTGGGAAAAATAACCGATAATAATAAAAATAAAGAAAAACCGACTGATAGCACCGCGAGGATAATACCACGTCAATCGAGAGCCAGCTTCGATTTAAAGCGGACCATTATATTACATTGTGTTTTCAACTAAAGAGAGACTATGAGACGACCCTAACGAGAAGCCAATTTGACATTACTCTGAGATATAATACGTTAGTCCATTTTGTTGCGAAAGATCCTAACGGAGCTCTACACCTCGTTCATTCCGTATGAACATGGGAACCGTGCTAAATATGCCTTACTAAGGCCATTTATCTCTACGTTATGAAAAATTTCACTTATAAGGTAACAATGTTTCAACATGCGTGTCGCAATCGGTATAGCTTCTGATTTACGTCTCGATATATTGAAAATGGAGACTTTTCAAACGTAAAAAAATAGTAGCTGTTGTAACCATTGACCGGTGACATCATTACTATTTGCTGGAGTCTATGCTTGCTTTTTTTGTATGCCTTAGTTAGAACAGTAACTAGGGGTAACTATTGAATCAATAAAAATCCTTCAGCTCAGTAACTGAACGCGGAACGCGCGTGTCAACCGAACGAAGGATAGTGCGGCAAACTGACAGCGTGCGGGGTTGAATCAGCATACTGCAACCCATCACTCAGCCAGCCCTAAGCGTACTTCAAGTAATCGACCAGATTATACTTAGAACTTAAGTAAAAATACCATATAGTACTCACATGGAGTTCATACATTACGACGGAAAATCAATATTACGGATAAATAAATTCACTAGGTCCTCCAATGAACGTAGCTAGATGGTTTGTGCTAGTCGACTATAGAATCGCTAAACAGCAGTGAGACTCAAATGTGTTCGATCAAGCAAAACTATCGACAAACATTATAACGATATTAGTTACCTAATGAATGTAATTAGTGTACATATACTCACAGCATCCTTCGTCGATGTAGCGACCTGCTTGGCCTTCTCTGCTCCAGAAAAGCTGACGAGTCTCATTTTTAACGAAAAAGCGTCGTTTATCTGGCCGTCCTTTTTGGAAGAACTTAATCAGGGTAATGCCGATCTCTAGTTTTCGTATGATTTGCTCCATTTCTGAGATGCCCGTTAGCGGCCCGTTGTGTGGGCCGGAAGGCAACGACCTCGTACGCACTGCCAATCCTGCCATCGCGATTACAATGTTTCCTGGGGTTGTTTTTTGTGTTACAAATACTTTGTGGCAAACTGTTCTCGGATCCTCTTTTCGCTAGGAAGATTCATCAGCAACTCAGTCTACCACCAGCTTGACGACTGATTCTACACTTCTTAAAACCGTCACTGCCTTACGCAGCACCCAGGGGCCCACTTTGCACACATCACTTGGTAAACAAAAAATACATACATTTTACATAAGCGGACTGATTCAATGTAGAACTGTAGAGCTCCCAAGCTAATCAGTGCCTGGCTTTACTCTCTTTCGCACGCGTCTTCTTTTCTAAGCGGTTTTCTAAAGACAAGTTCTCTGAGATGCTGGGGAAAGTTGAGCACCTGTCAGCAGTCACAATACTCTTTTCGACAGGACAGGCGCGACACCACGACTCACTAGTAGACTTCGCTAATAACTACAATTACTATATTAGGATTCATCTATTGTATGGAGCTTTAATGCTTTATACAAGTCGTAATAACTGCCTGTATATGCGTATCTGCGGTAACACGAACAGACGTTCTGAGCGACCTGCTGTGCTTGATAGGAGGCACCGACAAAGACCACTTCGGGATTATGGTAACAACTTCGAGACCCAAAATTTTTGCGTCTCTTCTGCCCCTAGTCCGCCCCTCTCTCAAGCTTTCTTTTTACATCGACCAGTTCATCAGTGGCCGATGCGAACATTGTAAATGAACCGGAAGCTGGGGCCGTTGATGCTTCTGCTAATTGGATTTCATTTTCGAAGCGCACTATCTAACCATGCTATTCTAACTATCGAAAGGACTGACCACCATCTTGGTAAAGAGGCGACGTCTAACTTTTTGATAGTTGTTCGCTGCTGGTGTTGTTCTGAGGCAAGTAACTAATTGAGGATAGCTCATCAGGTATCATAAGCTTTGTTAGCATCATTGTTAAAGCTTCATGTTGTGTTTCCTGATAATCGATATGCTGGCGGGACTATCTCGCTCAGAGTAATAAGAGTAGGCTTTGGCCAGTTGAGGGGTTCGCTCCCGTTTCGAGCCTTGTTTAGCCTATTATTGTTCTTGTTTTCACTGCTATTGCTGTCACTAAAGTCTCTCTGGCTCGCAGTTGCATAGACGCGGTTTGTTACGTGTCGAACACAATTTTGTTACAACAACGTCCACACCGTAATAAGACATACTAGACACATTCTGGCGGGTCATCTAACGCCGTCAGCTGCGACATTCAGTCATAAACATGTACCGTTATCGACAGCATTCAGTCAAATTTGAAGAATCGGAATAAGCTGTTGTCATAGGCTAGCCTGAAGAACAATGACGATGGTGACGAAGACACCCACACTTTTGACGTTCCGTCAAAACAATGACAGCAACTGCAAAGATGAGTCAGTTACCCAGCGTCTAGCACCAACGTTGGCCAGAAAACTATGTCAGGTTTCTAGACATTTGAAGACTCCTCTAAGTCATTACCGAGTTCCTGCTACATACGTTTTCCTACAGTTCTGCAATAAAAAAAAAAAGACTTGCTTTGCTCAGATCTTCTTTCTTTGATTAAAATAGAGTTTGATGTTCTTCGGTCCTGAACTGTCGTTGTTGTTAACACCCCTCCTCTTCAATCAAATACGATCCATTTTCTCTTTTAACTTGTACACTACAGCAGCATGTAGAGAAATGATCCAGTCAGCTGTCGCTCTGATCTTGTTGTTTGTATCGTTGCGCATCTTCTACAACGAACGGAACGCTCCGACACGCCGACAACAGACTTGTTGGTGTAATCTTCTCACCACCACAGTTCCCTTCTTTCTTTCTGAGTTGAGTAATAATACTGTCGATCCAGGAACGATTTCATTGGTACCACTAACTGTACTACTCCAGCACCGAGAACGCCGTTAACATCGTCAGCTGTAAGCGGTACGTACGTGTCGTATTCAAACTGTTCGAAGGGCAGCAACAGCGAATTAACGAAGCTCGAAAGTTCTTGTTTAGTTGATGTTATGCATAAATGTTGATGATTTTACGGAGCAGCGTAATTGCGTGAGGGTGGCACGAAATACGAAAGTAGTTGAGTTGCCGTGGGGTCTGTGATGTGTTGCTGTCAAGGGTAATTAGGTATAGGCTGCATCCGTTCAGTCTTCTACTCGCACTCGTAGAGGCCGCGTCGCAGCATCTGAATCTTCTGGCTAGTCCTTTTGTTGCGTTTTTTCGTCTTATCTATAGTGTTGCTGCTGCCGATTTTGTGTTATGTTGCGTCTAAATGCTACGAGAATGATGCTCACGTGCGTCACATCGCAAAGCACAGTATCGAATACAAGTTCGATGCGTGCCACTGTTCTACAACTATCATCTATACTGTAATAGTCTCTATCACTTAGTGTCTCTTGTCTGAAGATGCGCGCGGCCAACTGCCGACGGAAGCTCGCAAAACTCGCCTGCTCCTGCCGCTGCTACTCCCACAACAACATACACCGATGACTGGAAGGAACAGACTGGGCCCTCGCCTTTGGTACCCGGCCAGTCAAACTGAAGGAAGGAAGCAGGCGCGCACACTTCGAGGCGAGCGTGTGGGGGAGCAGTAGCACCACGATGTCTGCCGTCACCGCCGCCGCTACCACTGGCGCCGCCGGCGGGAACAGCAAGCTCCTCACGGATGCACTCACCACGACAGAAACTGTCGGAGGGAGGCGAAGGCACACACAGGCACGAAAGACCAGAGAGGCTAGCTCACACTCACAGGCCAAGGGCGGCGACAATATGACGCAACGCACGTAACAGGGAGGGTACTACCACCACCACATGTGGGAGAGAGAGAAGGACGTTAAGGCTATATGGCAAAGACCAGCTGTGGCCTCCAGCATCACTGCTTTGGCTGGTACAAGCCGCATGAGCTCGGTCGCCGCGACCGACCGGCAAAAGCTATTGAAAGCAAGAGAGTGAACAAGGCAGAGGTCGAAACAAGGACCGATGATCTGTTTGGCGGACGATTGAAGAAGTAGTTGGGGGGATTGACCAACCCTGCGATGATGCTTATGATTATCACAACGGTAGAATATGAGGCGAAAACGGCGACAAGGCAATTTAGTAGTTATAATGGTTACGAGCACCCGTACGCAAAGCTAGCCTTTACTTGGCCTAATTGAGTGAGTCTATTCAGCTGCTCAGAGCAGCAGCCGTAATTCCGCAAAAGATCACTACTATAGGACAGAGACCCTCACACACGATAAGCAAATGGGGCAGATCCTTGTGCTCAGGTGCCACCAACACGGCCATGCTGAACGCTGCAGAGTCAGAGTCATACGAACACGTACAGTCACAACGTCGCTTGCATAACAAGGAGAACACGACGGGCCCTTTCTCTATGTCAATGCTGATGCAGGCGGAGCCGAGTAGGCCGCCGCGGTAGGACACGCGGGCTGTACCAACACTTACGCAGGCCGCGACCACACGGAACAGAGCACAGAAACTGAACGAACCTTACTCAATACATTTGTTAACGATAATGCGTGTAAGTGATGATTAGTCGCTTTAAATAGCAGTTCTCGATCGATGAACCTGTCTCTTGTACGGGATATTACGTATTCATAAATATCTGAGAGCGTTAAACGAAAGAAACGAGCTCTGTTGCAAAATAGGGAACGTTGACGACCGCAAAAAGAATAAAGCAGTAAGAAAATGATAATAGAAATAAAAGCGGTTGCTTGTTGATAGTCCTCGCTGTTTTACTTGGTAGTTTACAGTTGTTGGGGTCTGTGAGGGGTGAGAATCGCATACCGCGGGCTTGATGGACGAAAAGACACATCGGCGTAACAAGGCCCTTGATGAAGTTTCACTATAACGGCATGAAACAAATGAGAGAGGGTTCTTTTCGATGGACATTTGATGGATGCGACGAAAGACGACTAGCCGCCTTCAAGGGCCTATAAAAAGTAGCTGAGCGAGATTAAAAGTTTGTTGATGGAAGACCAAGTTTTAGGTAGTGAACTGAAAAGTTTATGGTAATCATCTGGAATTAAAAGAAAATGCTGATGGGTTGTATATTCTAATATTAATTATAGCGGGTGTATAAAGAGAACCTGATGAAAAAGGGGAAAGGTGGTAGTTCATGGCACTAGATTGCTCTCAGCGTACAAATTCTTTTAATGTTGTGGAAGTTTTCGGAAACCCAGAAAACTGTACACTATCATAGGACAATATTAGCTTTTCTATGTTCGTGCGTCAATGAGTAAGCAAATATCAAATAGATTAAAAAAATTGACACTATGTGATATCCGTTGAAAGGAACGAAAGCCATAAAGAAAATGCATTGCATGTTTAAATTTCCCGCCATCTTATCAGCTCCCATAAAGCGCAGCTGCATTGAGTCGCCGTTCGGCCTGTCTGCCTGTTCTAAGCATCATCCCCGGGTCTCAAAGGTCGTACACACGTACATTGAGGAAATTCTAAAAGGCCTGGTAAGTTTAGTGTTATAGCTAAGCGTACGATTAAATTCACATCAAGCTATTAAGTCGACGACCTTGTGATCGGAGAACATCTCTAATGATTCTCTACATTAGCAGGATAAGAACACATTCTGCTAGTGGCTATTTCTCATCACATATAGTGCGTATTTTGTTTGACTAGACCTTCCATTTAATCTGGCTATACTCCTTTAACATGGCCTATATTATCCAATCATAACTTTATTACTATTAGTATCCGCATTAAACGTAGAAAAGGATTTGTGGACTTTGAGGCTTTGGAGTGCTCGAGCCTATTGAAGCACATTCCACTATTTGTATTGGATCCATAGGGTTGGGCTGTGATATCTACGAGGTTATTTTTATATACCATCATTTTCCCTACATTTGTTCTGCTTAGGTTTCCCGAACTCGTATAGAATGAGAGTCAATAAAATTTTCTGTCATGACCTTTCTTACGTCTATTTTCAGATTGCGAATATGATTAGTCTGAGAAGCAACACCGCTAGTCTTGCGACGATCGTTAAGCGGTCGTATCATAACCGGGCATTGCTTGGAAAGCGTGAGACCGTCGGACCCGGTTCGTACCGCTATTTCTTGTTTTGTTATTATAATGTATGTCTGAGCTGTGTGATCGCTTAATGTTCCCACAAAAACCATTCATGTATTGTTAACGTATCGTACCAGTGAGACTTCATGCATAATCGTGATCTGATGCTCATTAGAGACACTCTTCATATCTTGTTTTTGACTTATCTGTATGGTGTATTTTGCTTCTACGTTTTTCCAGTTCTGTCTGCTCATAAAAATGTAAACACTTCTGCATGCATAATTAGTGTTTTTAAATAAAATCTTTATAAAAGATACAGATTTATTTATATCACATATAGTATATATGGTGTGTTTGCATAAATAATAATCTTGAATATCCGATTCCTGAAGTTTTTTTTTTGCACTTTGTACTTAAATATCGTGCTATACAATTTAGCTAAACAAAAAGGTTAGGTTAGAATAAAATCCATTGAATTTAGGCTATTATCTTGACTATCATTATTATTTCCATTGTTACCACCCAGAGCTTACATCGATTTGTCTTTGAATCTTCGGTTTTTGTCACATTTTGGATATAATAATGCCGGTGTTAGCATGGCAAACTTAATACTGACAGTTTCAACAGAAGTGAATACCCCCTGAAGTTAGTTAATAACTTAATACTTTATATTCTAAAAATAGTACTCTATAAAAAACACATGATGATGCTGCACTACGGATTATTACAACTGAAGGTGCGCGTGAGAAGACACTCGTCTACATAGCACAGTTGCGTATGTTCCCATTCGGCTAGTTATTATGTGCGTCCGGTGGTGGCAGTTATTCAGATCCAGCATTTTACAATTGTGTAGCGTAATTACTTTCTCGGTTTTTTTTTTCTCATTTATCTTGAGAATAGTAGGATTTATAGAAGAAAAATTAGGAAGAACCGGATTTGTGGGTGATGTGTTATCTTCTGGCGCGATTTGTTTTTGAGATGGCATACAAGCTTTCTATTTTTCGAGCAGGGATATGGTGTAAACTGCATTTTGAAGATTTGTTAATTTCAAGCAAAAATGGTTTGGCTTGTTTCCCTTAAATTGATATTTTTCGACTAATTTCTATTTTTTGTTATTTTGGCAAATGCTTGGGCAGAGTAATGAGTGTATTTCAGGTAATTTATTTGTCAAAAAAACGTATACTTTGATAATTCAGTTTGTAAAGTAATAAATAGGAAAGCATTTTTTTGTTTGACTTTACGAGATATATTAAACGGAGTTGGTGTCAAACTATTTTCCCTTAAAATAAGAAAGTTTATTCGGGGTCCCAAAAATGGTAATATTTAAAACCAATTAACTGTACAAATAGATGTGCCTTGAACTTTACTTGATAAATTACGTATGCTAACACTTTGCGTAAATGTGACCGTTATCAGCATGAACGCAGTACATCAATTCTATAATCACTGTATACCGTCCTGATATATAATAGCCTAACTAATTTGGTATCATCAGAAGGAGTTTCTTATTGCCAAATTACGACAACCAACTAATATATAATACTTAAGTATAAATCACTATATATATATATAGCACACAAAATCTATAAAAATTTCTCATTAAATGCACCTAATTTTCTGGTTCATTCTTTTGATCCCTTAAAGAAAGACGCAATGCGCGACTGCGATAATTGATATTAAATATGCTAGTGTTGTAGCCTTTTTTAATCAGTTTGTTCTTTAAACATATTTCTAGAACATCGTTCTGTTGTTATACTTGTCGATTATTCGTCGTTTAAAGTATGGCACTGTGCTAGATAGACTGTATAGTGTTTTTCCACGACATGCATATCCTTAATGTGTGTGTTCTTTATTTTGATTCATCGTTATCGTAGGCTTCAATAACCAGCTTATGTATGTCGATCGAGCTGATTTCCCATACCCGGCCTCCCGTTGGGGTGAACCCGATGCAAAGATCGATGCTCTTCGCGAAAAGGAAAAGGGTGACTGGAAGAACTTGTCAATCGAAGAGAAGAAAGCCCTGTACAGGTAATTATTCTCATAGGTGCTCGACTTAAGCACGTAATTTTCTTATGAACAGTATGTATTACGGAGGTCGCTCGTCGAATGGACGTATGAGGAGCAACAATTCATTCTACAGGTTAAATGCGCTAATTTACTTTTACGGGAATATATTACCTACATCCCACTCTGGAAACTCTTAATTAATCTGGAAACGCATGTTAATATGCTTGCAGATCCATGAACTAAGTGATATTCTGCATAGTGCCCATGCCTAGTAAAAATCAGGACCGCGAATATCAGTTAATGATATCCAGATTACTTAGTTAATTGAAATAGCCCATTAATATTATTCATGGATACTTAATATACTAATTATTATTATACTATATATATATATATATATATATATACTAAATTGTATATGTAGAAATGTAAGGTCTAGAAAAAGATTGGTAAAAGGTTTATGAAGTTAGTTTTTCTTGTCTTGAAAAGGATTCTTTAGCTTACAGAAGTGTCTTATCTGCTCGTGGAAGGATAAACCCAATACAAGAGAGATGCTAACCAATCGGTGCTTTTTTACTTCGATACTCATAAAATTTCAACGGACATTTAAAGTTGGTTATTTAAATCGTAACATCAAGAATATTATTCAATCTATTAATTTTTTTTGATTGTTAAAGTTTAGTATTGTTTTGTGACACATTTTAGGTACTCCTACCGACAAACTTTTTCCGAAATGAACGCCCCGACCGGTGATTGGAAGATTGTAGTTGGCGGAACCATGATCGCGGTTGGTATCACTTTTTGGATCTACGCGTTCTTAAAAAAGTTTGTCTACTCACCAATGCCAAAGTCATGCTCAGAAGAGGCCAAGCTGGCTCAGCTTGAGCGTATGGTTCAACTGCGTGCGAATCCAATCGATGGCATAGGTTCGAAATGGGATTACGAAAATAACCGGTGGAAGTAAATGAATTAAGACTTGATGATGAAGTGGATTATCGGATGAGTAGAATAGACATAAACAATGATAATGTACTGTTGCTTTGCCAATCGAGAAAAGCAGCAGACTGTTTTTTCTTCTTATAGAAAAAGACAGGATTAGCAACAGCATCAGGAATGGTTAATACTGTTCTATAGTTTTAAAAATAAACACTTTAAACAAGATGTACACATATTAAAAAGTTCCGTCTAATTTACTTGATTATTATTATTAACTGGTAAAATTCTAGTTGCGTCAAGATGCAGTAGCTTTTCTAATGCCAGATATAATATATAGGTACGTGGGCATTTAGAGCGCAAGAAGAGATAATTGCCGTTGAAAACGGAAACTCAATATTTATGTAGATCAGTTTCAAGACCCCAATATTAAAGAGTTAGCAATTTAAACGGGTTGGCTTTCCTAACAAAACGTTCTATGGAAGTAATCCATAGAAACCAATTTACTAAAAGATGATTTACCAGCATTACCTCTTGTACGGTGTTTTTCGGGCTCTATCTGCAATCGATATGTCAGGCTGCGGCAATTAGCAGCATTGGTGTGCAGTACTTTGATCTATCTAGGCTGCTAATCAGGCGCAACGACGTCGTTACGCGCTAATCAACAGTTCGGAATACACGTAATCATTCCATTGTAATTCAGTTCTTATTTTCGAATTACGTACAATTCAAATCTGCAATATTAAGAAGAACACTGGGAAGAATATATTAAAAGTGGCCTGCGTCTTAAGCTGCGTCATAAGTTAGTTGCAGACTATATTATAAGCGGTCCTCTAGTAGATTTCGGGTACAAATTTCATCTTTTTTGAAAAACTCTAATACAAAGAGTATTAAGAAATGACGTAGTAGAGGTCGGTAGCTTCTAGTTGATCATGCTTTTGGTGGACTGAAGATGCCACTCTTTTCTTGATGGAGCATAAAGGATGTTGCACATTAAAAGAATTGAAACCTAAATGTGTAGTAGGATTAAACTGGCCCAGAAGTAAGTTGTCTAATTTTATTGAGAACGGAGAAAATTAAATACAAGTTTAAATAATCAAGTATTCAAGCATCTAATAATGAATCTACAAGGAGTATCCCAAAACATTGTAATTGCATAAAATTATTACACACTCTTAGCAAGAACTGAAAAGCATTCATAAAAAAACTTCACTTGTAAGTGTTCTAAAAATGCTGCATATTTTGCCGGAGTTGACTCATTGCTTACGCGGGTTTTTTTAGTTTAAGGTATCATCGATTTGTGACTTACAGGCCGAATTTTAACTCGATTGAACAGTACTTACATATTAATTTTATACTGCGAAGAAGTATAAAAAATAATGTTTTTTTTATTCCTAGAGACGAAAATTATGGGCAATCATTGCTAAAAATTAGATCCGTTTTTTTCTTAATGCCCGTATTCATTCGGTTCTACTTGCCCGTGACATCCGCTTATGCCAAAATGAAAAAGGTGCAAGCGGAAAACGACGCTGACGAAATTCGATGAAAATTGACAAAAGTATTTACATGTGTGCGAATTAGCAAAAAAGTGGCGAACATGAAATGGCTTGCGCCACATCCTAGGAGTGAGCTTCTTAGATGGGAATATACCAAAATAATGTCTGAAGAGCAGGATCGCTTCCATAACGCCTCACCCTTGCAGGTAATTCGAACTCTGATTTTGTAGAACATCTTAGCATCGTTTTTCTGCTGGCGTTGTCTCTGTAGAAAATTGTTTAGCAGCAACGACGCGGGGTATTTAAGGCTTAATTCTTAAAATTTTCCCGCAGAAAGACATCTAGTAAATGTCTAGTAAAGACATCTAGGTAAATGTTCATCTTTTCGGGTGACAGAAGAAAAAGAGTACACTGCTACAGAGGCAAAAAGAACGTCATCGGACATGCACAAAATGTCCAAGTGAGCAAGACACACTGCCACGAAATTATAGCAATCAACGTAGCTATTACTAGCAGGCAAATGGATATCGGCGCGCTCCCAGTTTGGAGCTTCCAAGGCGCAAGCCATCCTAGCATAGGCACTCTTTACCAATTTAACAGGTTATTTAGGAAAAAATATCAGTTTTTTATTTGTTAGGGGAAACGTAACGTAATACTCTCATTTTAACGGTTAATTTGTTTACTATATATTCGCCATTATTCTTCATGACCATCTCAAATCATTAATTTTATTTTGTTAAAAGAATTCGTCCTGCTAGTTTATGGAAATCTTAATGTAACGTTACGCGTTTAATTTTTCGATGATCGGGAAACGTGGTCAGTTTTCGATGCAAACTATGAAGATCACGGTAAGCGCATAATATCCTTCCGCTCTACCTTTTGCAGAGTTTTGACAGATGTTGTCTGACTAGGCCACACATGGCAAAGGCTGTCGTATGCCAGGCTAGCATTATAGGTTGGCAGACGTTCGTTCGTGCTAGTACAGGTTACCCCGCAAAATGACATCCTTTTCCGCACGTCAGCAAGTATTACTAAAATAGTTTTCGCGAAAGCAGCACATCCCACGAAAAGGTAATGGCACTATCGATTACTACAAGTTACCCACGATATCGATAATACAAGTTAACCACGAATTGATTGTATTCATTTTATACGAATGACCTATACATACGTGAAACACCGGGGCTTTAAATTGCAGTCACTGATTTATTTTTTTTTTTTAACAAAAAGTGTATCGGTCAATCTTATCTCATTGATGGGGCCGGCGCACTGTAATAGTATGATTTGAACTTCACAGACGTATGCCATTAAACAAAAATTGGTTACATCACCGTAAAGTCGTGAAAACCAGTTATTTAGGGCAATCGAGAAAACAAATACTAAACAATCTGCCTCACATTTGTTTGGATGATATATTTAATACGGTTAGCTTCTACACAAAGATATTTGCGTAACGATCCATTTCATGTTTACATATGATACATTACCATTGCATTTTATTCTACATTAGTTTTCCATAGATAAAAATAACTTTATCGCAATTCATAGTGTTAAATATCAAAGGGACGGTACATATTACTATAGATACCTGTTGTAAAATATGCTAAGCAGTATCTGATACAGTTGCCAATCACCGTTTTTCTGTATCTCATCGGATTTTAATCCGACTGCAGGGTTCCGATTTCTTATTGTTGTTGTTGTACTTGCTTTTGCTGAGTACGAGCACCGCACTGTTAGGTTTTGATGTGCACTCGTTCGAAATGCATTTCTGTTATGTCTCCGGAAGATTTGTCACCCTAGTCAAATAGCAAACCCGTACAACTAAATACTTGACGCAATCGAAACAAAAAAAATAGTCTTTTTTTTTTACGGAACTGAAAAAGCCGTCAAAAATTCGAATTAGTTCTATGGCTCAGCTAGCAACTTTTTTCTACGAAACTATACGAAGGGGGTACAGCTCCGTATTACTAATTAAAAGTTCGTTCCAGTTTTAACGATTTACTAACGATACCAGTACGTTTCAGACAAATGTAACACAAGTAACAATCCATCTTTACCAAGTCCGCATCCATGCCTTATTACAGAACATACATGAGAAACCATATTAAATTGCATGTATATCATCTTGATACATCGTTGGGTAAACTCTGGATTTGTTATTGATTGATATTATCTGAAATTAACCCAATCATTAAAAGCCTATTCATTGACACTGGCGAGCAAGCGCTTGTAAACTGTTTGACGACCAGAAAGCATTGCAAAAATGCGAAGGCAAATGTTAGGAAAATGTCGCATACTTTCAACTAAAATCTCGAAATAGACTCTAAACAATAAATTTATATTTTTTTTTGAGAACAAGAAGGAACTGTTTAAGCCACAGAAAAATTGGTCTGATAGACTTAGCTTTACTTGCAATATGCACATGGCCTGCTGATGATCGCCTTGAAATCAGGAAATTAAAGCAATATGAACAATCAATGCTAGGTGCTATATTGTCGGAAAGAGGTACATTCAGATCTGAGGAAATAGCCCTGAAAATTGCAACTTTGGACGGTTGTAGGATGTCTGCTAGTTAAACCCATTATTTGTTAAGTGGATATATTTTGGCTGAGCTAGGATAAACATAACGTTAGCCAATTACATTTTGAGAATTTCTACGTTAAAAGTTAATTTAGAAGCTTCTGACTTAGAGAATGTTTGATACCATTAGCCTGTATATGCCCATATTTTTCGGTGATTTCCTCAAGATTGTCAGAACACAAAAATATTTGTCTCAGAGCAGGTATTGTCGAGAAGCATTATTACAGCAGTGCAGATGCATGGAAAAGTCAGCGTAATGTAAAAATTAAAACACTAAAGTGCCATACAAGATGGGCGAAACAAAAATTTTAGCCATTATCCAATTTTTTCAGGTAAAATGGATCCCAATTAAGATTAACGACTTCCTTTTTGCCCATCACTTAATAGCTTACACTACTACTAGCTTTCATGTAGCTTCTAGAAAATTCGAGGGGACTTTTACGAAGGGAAGATCTTCCATTGGATTTAAATTTAAAAGGCTCAAAAAGCTATTCTTGATCAACCTAGATTTTTGACACAGAAATTTGCAGCAGTTTTAGAAGGGAAAATATGAACTAGTTCCGTTATCCAAATAAACTGTAATAATTATGATCCTTGAGATTTTTTTTGCCTTTTTGCACCTTTGAAACCTCCTGACCGATTTAAGCCTTCGCATTTTTGAGACTTCTGATCTGTTATCAACCCAAAATTTAACTCCGCTGGAATTTTTTGTATGTAGCGTATTTAACGGGTTTACACTTACCACTATCGCTTGACACAGGGTCGTTATTAAAATATATTATGACTCATGAGTGGTGTAGGTCCTGAATTAAAGCAGCGTGTAAATGGATAAACGGTTTATGTTGAATAAATATATTTGTCAGAAATGATCACAGTTCTTGTGGTAATAATGTGCTACATTATTCTGGCGTATCCAAACAATTTCGTTGAAATATTTGTTACTATGTACAGTTGTAAAAACAAAACAAAAAATTCTCGATTTAGTCGTGCCGCTTATGCATTTATGTATACAAGGTACCTTTAAACATATATATATTGTTTAAGGAGTCATGACCTTCTCATTCTTTCTTTTTAGAATGTAATTAATGGGAAATATTAAGTGAACCCAGATCATCTTTTGAAGAAAGTAAATGTATTTAGAAGTATAGAAATATGAAAATGTACCAGAA